GCCACAAGTAAGCCGGGAAAAAATCTCGTACCAAAAACTCGCCCTGATGGCGTTAGTTCATGGTAAAACCGACGTTGAGCTTTCGTGTCCTCTTTTGTCTTCGTGGTTTCAGAGCAAAATATAATGAGTCATTCTAGTGGTATCGTTTTGTAGGATGAAATTTTGTAATATTTGATTGCTACAACATCAAGGCACAAAAATGGACGTCGTCTTCGCTTTGATATCGACATTTATGATCGTTTTCGCTTGAAGACGCTGCGCCTGTACTTTGTGAGGATTCCACGCCTGCCCAGCATAAAAATTTCGATTCAGTTTTGGACTCACGCAAACCCTCGACGGAAGGGATGACCGACTTCCTCTAATTCCGAAGGAATTGGAGAAATAGAAACCAGAAGGCGAGCAAGGTTGTCAAACAAGAATCTTCTAGGAGGGCCTGTGTTGAAGAAGACAAGAACTCACCTGCAGGCACTTTTGATCTTCTTCAGCAACGCCATAGTACTAGTTGCTGGCGTTGAAATAGTTCAGGTTCAGCATCATCCTGTGTTGAAGTCTTCATACAGTCTTTGCTTCGAGGGGACACCTTCTATAACCCGAAAAATGCGGGGGAGCGAGTTCTTGTTGGGGCGTGCGCTTATCTGTATTCTCAACAGCTTCATGAGGCTAGCCGCGCTTGGATGGCTTGGGCAGTCATCGATAGCATTACAAATTCTATTTTTGTGGAGACTAAACGAATATTTCCAATACGACTCAAGGAAAATGATTGAACTACTCATCATCCGTGCCTGTTAAAGTTTCAAAACGTAACTATTAAGAAAGCTTAGTTACGCTTACGAATTTATAATATAGAATACTAGAAGCGTCTATCTCGATAGTGGAAGTTCTGTGGTGTAATCATTATCGATCCTGTGATAGTGACACTGACACTAAGGAAATGTAAAGGGCAAACTCTTTGAAGCATAGACTGTCAACGAGCCGATGGCTCTTGTGCCCCATGCCTCCACCACACTGACTCATTGCGTCTTCAATCAACGGAGGATCATAACGATATAAGCTGTGTGTACGATCAGCGCCCAAACATTTATAATCAAGTATTTGTTTGTATAATTCCCGTAGCACAGTTCTAGCTGTTCCTTTAATATTCATCCCAAAACAACTACAAAAGATATAAGGAGTAGAGAAAGACGTTGGTCGTCAGTATAACTACAAAAGATGTAATTGGATGAGGGGTCGTGGTGGACATATTACCTCCGTGTCAATGACTAGAGATTGATTGAGATCGTGATTTTGTTTCGTTGGGCCTGGCGGGGACTATAGAATTCTCATAATTTAGTATCACTTTCTGGCTATTCTGCCACAACAAGTGCATTTGGTACTTCCTCCAGGTCCAGGCAGTGCGTGATTATTCTGGAAAGAGTCTAGCTAGGATTGTCAAGCCCTAACATATTACTCTCCCACGACTTTTCGAGATGAGCTGATACTGAGTAAACATCTTGCCCGCGTTTCTCTTATCGCTATTCTTCATGCCACTATCAAGAAAAGTCGTGCATTTATTTTACAATCTTACATTATATGTTTAGAAAAGGGACCCGTTTCCACCTCCTCCAATTTTCCTTATTTTTGTTGGTTTATCGGATCTCTCTACCTGAGTCCCGAGTTGCGGAAACATTTCCATGTAGTTGGAGTCTAGATCTGCATATTCGAAGATGATGCGGTCGCACTCGACAGGATCGCCGATAAGCACAACTGCGTCGCCTTTCTTTGGCCCCATCCCGTCTTTCTCCAAGGAAAAGAGATGTGCGCTATCATCCGATACCCACGAAGTAAAGCGGTTAAGAGCGTTTTTCAGATTAGAAGGCAACGATCTTCAAGGGAGGTTGAGGAAAGAGAGTAGATTTAAGTAAGTAGTTTGCGAGGATGTTGGGGATGAAGGATAAAGACGATATAATCATAATGGAAGATGGACGAGCAGAGAAGATAGAAGTAGCGATTAAGATTATACGTTGTTCAAAGTCCTCCTAGTACTCAAACTCGACGAGCTCGGAAACAAGAACGCACTACACATAATTGATTTTGGTTCAAGGGGAATATACCACCTGCTACTCAAGACTGAACTCGATGATGTGACCAACCATTATTAACTAAGAAGTAATTGTTCTGTGATGAAATTCTATGAAGATGTGTCTACTCATAATCTTCAGCTGCTGAATTTTCGGGCTCTGGCATATTTCCATGACGCTGCGCCTCTGCCCTGGTGCTGCTTGAAGCTGAACTATCATTTCGCGAGTATTAGAGCTTACCTTTATTCATCTTTATTAAGTGCATCTTTATTAATGAGCTTTCCCCTTGTTCAGCAAAGGGGTCAACGATGCTTCTCCAGAGATGAATTACGGGAAGCCTTAAGTGTAACGAGGTTGGCGCGGTCTCGCTTGTCGTCGGGACCATTTGGCAAATTCGCACAGGGCACCGAAGTACCAGAGACACCTATGTGTGTAGGTCGTTGGGATCTCTAAACTTACAGTTTGTAGTATCAAGTATTGCATCCTCAACCTGTCTTGCTAGAAGAACATCAAACACTTCTATATATAATGATGAGTTGTTGAGTCCATTCATCATCAAGCAAGTAAATGTAAAAGTACACGTAATCGCCTCTCCTCCGAGTGATGATTTTTCGTCCTGTCCCTGTTTACGTCAGCACTAATAAAAAAAGACGAACTCCAAATCCAAAACCACAGCTCCACTGAAAATAACTACTCGAAGCCGATTGCACTTCTCTGCCGATCTTTCGATAAGGTGCGGTCTTGCATGCAGGAGGAGCCTCTTCCATGTTTGGCTTTCGACCGGAGTACAAGGAGCCAAGCCATCGCGGTTGGCTAAATCTCCCGAGAAGCCAGGACGACATATCTCTACAATTTCTTTTTATGAATATAATGTTCTCTCCTAGACGTTGCTCTTTCTGATTAGTTACCGACGTTAAGCTTATGGGTGGATATCAAGATGCAGAGCAAGACATGAATGGCACTGAGCTGATGTTTGCTGGTAAGTAAGTAGTTACATAGTTCAGTGCGAATGAATGGTAGCAGTGTTTGCTTTCGTCTAGTGCAACCACTCTGATACAACGGAAGATCGATGCCCATCTTTAGATTTGTACTATGTATAGTCTGCATTTGCTTGGAACCTCCGATAGCCTGCATTTGGAACCTCGGAATTTGCATTTTTCGGATCCGCGCAGAGATGCTAGCGCGATTTTCTATTGTGCTACGCCCAAGCGTGATCCTCTTTGCTTCCTGCAAATTTCACTTTCCAATACTAGAGAATGTCTCCACCACGGCATCCGATATCACTGGAAGCCAGTGTCGTGCTAGTCGAACGCTCAGCGTGTTGTTATCGATGGGCTGACTGCTTTTGGGGTGTGATGCTCTACCATCCGGTGGAAATTCGGACTAGCGGTCTGCTGCATGAAAGACGCTGCTATCATCTATCAGCTCGCATCCCTCTGTCATTACTTTCCGGGCACAAGAATAGGTGGCCTCGTGGATTTATCCGTTGCCTGATTTCATCTGCAGCAAGGTGCTACAGCTCGGGAGATCGTAAAGCTTAATATGTCACAAATAGTAGTTCTCAGCCGCCACAAAATGTCGGCTCTAGAATGGGCGCACTTTCAGGTAAAACTAAAATCCAAAAGAAGCCTGCCAGCTGAAGTCTGGCCTTTTCTTGACAATCAATGTTTACTCCTCTCAGAAGATATGGAAATAAGTAACAGAAGAGGTAGACAGTGAGACTTTATAAAGACGAAAGTAGCTCAGTCACAAGAAGGAAGGTAAAAATCACAAGCCTCGAAAATCTTTCCACTGAGAACAATAACATCAGCTGAATCTTGTGAGTTCTCAGCATCTGCTTCACTTCTTGGCCAGGGCTCGGAAGCAGCGGCTGCGACTTGCTCGAAACTCAGCTAGGAGGCAGCTATTGCGCGCTACATCCCTAGAAACAGCGGCTGGCACTCCAGCCTTGTCGGTCTTCGCACAGCTGGTTCCTTGGTCTCCCGCAGCGTTAAGGCTTTGAATATTTGAGGAGCGCAGCCACTCTTAGATGACTCCGTGGTCGTGGTCGTGGATGTTTGTGCGCAACAACATTCACGAAGGGGTAATGGAGTTTACTCATCTTATTCACGTGCCGCCTTTGATGTTTTCTTTGTTGGCACAACTATTTTTAGTCCTCCACATGCGTGAAGAGGATAAGTAGCAGCTTTTGCCAAGAATTATAAGAAATAGAAAACAGAATGATGCGTCCAGTACATCTAGAATTCTTATTACTCGATCACTTGCCGCGCAGCATTGATTATAGGCATGCACTTGTTCTTAACATCGTGCTATCTCTTCCTCGCTTTGCAACTCCTCCCACGTCGATTCGATGCCGGATGTACACACCGAGCATTCGGACTCAGGTTCGTGAATACTCTCAACGCGGAGAAAACGCGCTACTTGCCTCTCCAGTTGGTCTACTGAGTGATTGACAGACTGCGGCTTCTTCGCGTTCTCATCGTCAATGCGGCTGGCC